AAATAGTGTCTTTTGACTCTGTCACACTAATAAATCATTTCAAACCCATACTATTTTTTTACTAACTAGTCTGTAATCATTTATGTACCTTACAGTATATTTGTGTCATTTTTACAACTTGAAGCTTTTTTATTGTTGCAGGAGATTGTATCTAAACATGGACCTTCCAGAGGAGAGAGGTTTAGAGCTGATACTTTGGAAGAAGCTGTAAGTACATTTCCTTTATAACTATGTGTACTGAATCTTATACATTTTTAATTTACCTCTGTAATGTTCTCCAGTTTTGAGCCAGAAGTTAACCTTATGAATCGTTTGATAGAATGTTGTTCAAGAAGAAGACATAAAGACAAGAAAGTCATCTATTATAAAGACAGAAGAAGACAATGATGAAGATGCATTCAACTATGAAGAGGATTTTGAGGTACATCGGTTCATTATTTTAATCTTGTTAGAAGAAGAATATAAATGCAATTAATGGGAATCATGAGCTCCATCTTTAACTGGGAGGTGATTCTCCCTTTGGGATAAAAGTTAAAGGTAGTTGCATCGTTACTAACTAAAAGACTGTTAAACTAATGTAGCCTCTATAAACAAACTTGGTTGTTGTCAAGGTTACTGCTAATGGTGCTCATGTTTTTGTTTAGTTGTTTTCAAAAATGAAAAAAGAACAGAATTTTTAGCTAACCAGCAAAAACCTGTTGATTTGGGTTGTATCTCAAGATACAAGTTAATACTGCTCAATGTTAATGTCAATTCACAGGACTATGAAGATGATTTTGAGAATGAACAAGATGATGATGATGATTTATCTCTAGGCGTAAGTTATTTCTCTAAGTTATACACAGATTTATTTCCTGCAATTGCTATGGATGTTTTCATCCTGAGAAGAAGGATTTCCTGTGCACCAAGGAAAAGGATTTTGTATTTCATAGTTAAATTATACAGTAATAAACCAATGTATGAATCCTCATAGTCATGTGTTTGTTCTATTTTATCCAGGAGAGGAATGCAGGAATGCTAGAGGTAAATATACAATAAATTATTGATCAGTAAAATCTTCTCCTGTTTTATTTAACAGCAGTTTCCTGCTTTCTGTATTCTGGGTATTGAGATCATGTTAAGTTTTTTGGGGGTGGAGAGGGGGGAAGAAATCTTGGTTTGTAGTTCAAGGGAGATTCATATTTTAAGTCCCTGATCAGGGAATATTATTGAGTAAGGGGTGAGATATAATGCAACATTTTGTTCTACAAGATTTTAGAGGGTTCGTGACAGCTTTTCCTAGTGGTGCATCAAAGACAAATTTTATTTGCTGAGAACATCACACAATTGCCATCAATGTTGCTGGTCTTGCTCATGCAATACACTGTAATATTTGTTGTGGACAACCTTGCATCAGTAGAAATTGATGTTATTTCTGTACGACATTGTGACACACAGTGCATTTCATGGTTGCATGTAACGTTGTGCGCAGTCTTTGTAGAGGTGTTTACACAGTGCATTTCATGGTTGCATGCAACGTTGTGCACAGTCTTTGTAGAGGTGGACATAGAGTGCATTTCATGATTACATGCAATATCATGCTTCAGTCTTTGTAGAAGTGGAAGCACTGTGCATTTCATCCTGTAACATGCGACGTTGTGCACAGTCTTTGTAAAGGCGTAAACAGTGCATTTTATGGTTGCATGCAATGTTGTGCGCAGTCTTTGTAGAGGTGTACACACACAGTGCATTTAATGGTTGCATGCAATGCACAGTTCATTTTATGGTTGCATGCAGCATTAAGCACCACTGATGCACTGTGTGTTTGGGCATAATGTAAATTTTTGATTCTATACAGTTCGGCAGCTATTCCATAACCAAGTGGATAATATGAATTTTTAATTGATGTTTATTGATCTATCTTTCGTAGCTTCTAAATGCAATTAACTTAGAGAATGAAACAGTATCTCGTGAAGGTACCAAAATGTCTCGTTCAAGTGATGATGACTCTAGAAAAGGTAAGCTGTTTCTTATATCATTCTTTCCTCAAAAACGTACTAAAGGACAATAATTAGCTTGGCAAGACACTTGTGCCAACATTCTGGATGTGGAGTGTTAAGGAAAATAGGAGAACTCAAAGAAAACCCCTCTAATCTAACTCAACTCCCATGCTATGTAAAGTCTGGTAATCTAATACGAATGCACTACCACTACACCAGCTTTGATTCTATGCAAATGTCTAATTTTCTCATCTAATGGGTTTGTTTGTTTCACATGCTGTTTTTGATCACAGAACCAGAAGTCAGACCTGTTACAGCAAAAGGACGAATCAATTTTGTGGCCGCCAAACAAAAACAAATTAGTGAAAAAGTAGCATCAAGGACAAGAAAACGAGGCCAGGTTAGAAAATGAGAGTTTTAGTATGCACTGAAATGATGCTGATATAAGTAACAGTCCTGTTCCTTTTTTTGTAGGAACTGATGCACTTAATTGATTTGGATGTGGTTGTCTTTGAGATGTTTGATCTTCCACCTATGAATGAATATGAACTGTACATCAAAAATTTTGGACGATCAGACACCAAACAGGTAGGTGCTGCTTGTGAAAATGTAAACATAGTGACTTGGAATAGAGGCTATTATTTGTGGCTTGGTGAGTATTTTTTGTAAAAAAAATGTGTCAACAAATGTTAGGACACCGTAACATATATCTGTGTCCTCACTAGTAAGAGAGGAATAGACCCCTTCACAGTTCCCTGCGCCATCTTGAAAGGTAGCCATGCCTTTGCATCGAAGCGTGATGAATGGTGAGCTTGTAATGATAGACACCTTGGACAATTATTAACATGTCTCTATCACTGCAAGCTCACCATTCGTCTCGCTTCGATGCAAAGGTGCGGCTACCTTTCAAGGTGGCGCAGGGAACTGTGAAGGGGACTATTCCTATATAACCTTGGTTATTTACCTACTCATTTATTAACATATGTATCTACTATTCAGGCTTATGTCCAGTGTAATGATGATAACTTGGAGAAAGAAATCCAAACGGAGGATATTGAAACAAGGACAATGTGGACACAAAATCCTGCTGAAGACTTTGCTGGTTGTGGGGGTATGTGAATGCTTATGTCCAACCAAAACATTTTTCTTTTTTACCTTTCTCACTATATTCCTATCTCTTTTCTATACTTTTCTTTCCCCATCCCATACATTAATTTCCATATCCCTTTTATATACATAGGGACCCTGCTTCATAAACACATTGCCCTGCCCACTATTCAAACGTTCTACAACCCTTTTTTATCCACATTCTCATGCCATTTCTTTCATTTCCCACTCCCCATAGACCTTCTTTGTTCAGGGGACCAATCTCAAAAATGCCTAATTTTGACTAGAAACAATAGCAAACTATTCAAATGTTAGTTGGTGGACAGATAGAACATCTCTTGGACAGTTTTTTTTGACCAAAATTAGCCAAAAATGGAAATTTTCAATGACCGGCCGGTGGGGGAAAATTCCATTTTTGGGACTCAAAAATGCCTGATTTTCACATGGAGCATTAACAAACTATTCAAACATTAGTCATTGGACAGAGAGATGATATCCCAGTAGGGTTTTAGCTCCAAACTCTTTTTGACCTAAATCAGCCAAAGATATAATTTTTGTAGCTCTATCTTCCATCTAATTCTGTTCGTTTCACGTTTTTCTTCTCTATCCCATGGCTTTTTATTTCTTAATTCCATTTCTCAGCATTTACCTTTTCAATTTTGTTCATTAACAGCAAAGAATGGATTGGTTTTTCTATAACCTTACTATGTTCATATGTTCATATTCACGCTTTTGTATTACGATAGATGAGAAAGGTAGTCAAGAAGACACGTCTAACTTCAGTCATGCAACTGTTGACAGTGTTCGCTTGGCCCGTTTCTTACAAACTGCAGGACAGGTGATATATTTTCTCAACCTGACTAATCTAACATTACTTTGCAACACTGTCGTATTCCTTGGTTTCACGAGGTCTTGACGCTATTCTATGTCTCATGCAGAATATTAATCAGCTGAATCACAAGTTTTTAATATAATTCTTTCTGGTTGACATTATTTCTGGAGCAGATACTAAAGACGCTCCAAAGACTTTTGTCAGCTGATTTAAACCCAGCAATAGAGTAGAGTTCATTGTTTGTTAAAAGAATGGATTTTTCATGCCAAAGCCATGTCCCTAGCAGGGTAGGGTGGATGTAGTTGTATAATAGTTTAGACTTTTTGTTCAGTGTAATACGTCATGAATGTGTGTGTATATAGTCAATCCCTCTTTACATTGGGGGAATGTTTTCCCATCTCAGACCAGACAATGTGTTATTCCCTAGAGTATCATTTCTTTGTTTAACGGTTTAACGAATATGGGTACAACTGAAACAAAGAATCTTTTTCTCAAGCCTGACACGTGCCGTCTGGGGTGAAAAAATTGCACCCAAGCTAAGAGGTTTTATTGTTGGCAGGGACGGGACTTTAAACCACAAAACTTATTTTCCCTACTTATTGATTTTTGTATTTTTTCAAGGCGTGTCTTGTCCTTCTCGAAGAGGAATCTGCTGAACAATCAAATAAAATAGTGAAAGATAAGAAAGAGATGAGTTGTAGTGATGGATACGTACCCCTGGCTACAAAACAACCATACCTTGCAGGTACGAAGGGAGCTCTTTTAGAATGAGCTCTTCTAGACTGGGGTCTTTACATTTGTCCCACTTTGTTACACAACTGAATATAAAAATATGCAATGTAACGCGTACAATGAAAAAATGCCCAACTCAAATCGGTATTCCTATTGCTTTATATCCTTGAGTAGTACATATTTATTGATAGATGTATAAACCATGATATATTACATTGGGAATCAAGTCAATGATAGCTTGGGTGTCACTATTGCACTTTCCTCTGGCCTCTTGGCTGTTTGGTTCAATTCCTGCACTTGGCATCACAGTGATGTTAGCAGTTTGTTTATTCTTTCTCTTGATTCGAAGTATTTTCTCCATGTTCTCCAGTTTTCTTCAGTCCACAAGACTCAACATCCTAAATTCCAATTCGATTTGTTAGTCGTGCCCTGACTTTGGTCAGCGCAGAGGTATGATTTCAGGTTCCGATCAAATAGTTGATTTTTTTACAGGACGAGCATTGGAATGTCTACACGTGTCTCCAGTGCAGAACCACCACCTACTCACGGCATATGGGCCTGTCAATGATCAAGAGACGGCTTCATCCAAGGTTTGTCAAGAGGTGCCCATTGACGACTCTTTTAAGTTTAGCTTCGAATTCTCGAGTTCCTTGTTTATTTAATTCTAATTTCTGCTTTTTTTAACCGGGTTTAAAGAGTAGATGATAACCAGTATATGTGATAGATCTGTGAAAAGGTTTCGTCCTTGCTTGGTCAAGAATGGGATTTCTTTATGGCGTAGCTATAGAGATATATCCAGAGAATAAATGAAAAGTCTGTTTTAATGGATCATAAAGATTCACCCATGGATTGGATTGATAAGGGTGGGGTTGGGGGTACTCGTACACAATGCATGTTCTAAGAAGCAAGTAGGAAGAGGATTAGATAAAAGTGGTTGTCACAGGTGTGGCCTAACACAAAGGAGAAGTGTTAGGCTGGGTGGTTTTCATTAACCCGTGAAATACACTTTAGCATATTTAGCACTACTTCACTCTAATTCCTTTGTTTTCTATTCTGTTTATTTGACAGTTACACTTAATTTAGTACACTTTTTTTCAGGGGTTAAAGAAAACCGCTCTAGGGTGGGGTACTGTAGTATGACGGTGGGAAATAACGAAAACAACCTCATGTACAATGACTCTGGTCTCATAGGGTGTGGTGTGGTAAGGTACCCTGCACACGTATAATGAATCTAATGAATTTTACTTATTTTCTCCCTACAGATGAGTGATAGCATGAAAGCTAAGAGTATTTTCTGTTTATGGAATGTGAACGAGCCTTCAACACCGCAAAAGTACGTAGTTATTCGAGCATCGTTTGCCTTGATGTTCAACATCGATAAACCATAATTAAATTTTTTGATGCAAAGTTATGTGACAAATTTTTAAATTTTAATATATAAAAATTTAATTGTTCTTTACATTAAAGAATTCTTATCTGTGAGTCTGTTCCTCGATGTTGCTGTCTGAGTCCTTCTAAAGCAACCATTGCATTTGCTGGACTGGTAGGTTATCATAGCCCTTTGCAGAGAAGTACTAGGCTTCTCTTGTGTGCATGAAAACAAAAGATGTGTTTACAGTGCGACGCGCCTAACCATGGCCACCCAACTAATGTTTTACTAAATACTAATTATTTTTACTGAATACTAAATTATTTCTTTAAAACTTAAATAAATGGCTATGAATTTGCCTAGATGATACCTATTTTGGTCCCTCGGCTGGCTAACACTTAACACTTAGGTAAAAAGTGACTTAATTGATGGAAACACTTGGCGAGAAAGGATTCAAAGGCATTTTGGCGCGTCGCACTGTAATCAATCATTGTTTCATTGCATCATTGCGAGGCTTAATACTTTTCTGAACATCATTATAGTACTTTTATGCAAGAGTCTGTTACTCCATAATAAAAAATATACACTTAAATACTTTTAGCTAAAATGTTTATTCAAGTATAAAATTATCCTTACATCACCTCACGGCACTCTAACTGGATTCAGATTCAAATGGCACGAAACTGTGCTATATAACTAGCGCTATTTAGTACTAAACGACACTAAATAGCAAAAAAAAAAAAAAAAAAAAAAAAAAAAAAATTAAAAAGAAAAGAAAAGAAAATTTATTTAATGTCTATTTCATCCACTGTCAGGAAGATGGATCTGTGGTAGCTTGGGATCTGCGCGAGTCACCCTCCATCCATCATTCCTACGATGTAGACGATGGTCAAGTCATATTTCGATCCCCAACATTCAGCACAGGTTTGTCTCTCTAATACACTTGAACTAAACTAAACCCAATATAACACTAGTTCTAATGACTGCAATTAAGGAAGAACATGGTAATGACATGATATCATGTTCTTCTTTCCTTTATTATAACTAGTGTTATATTGGGTTTAGTTTCAAGTGTTTTTGGCATGATATGTCTGAGTTTCTTGTGTGTTAAATATGTATAGCTATATTTATACCCGGTTATTATGATTATGAACATATGTGATCATTATGTTGTTTTCACACACACATCAGTTACCTTATGAAACACAAATTGAATAGGGAATGTGCACGAGCACGAATCTCTAGAACAAAGCATGATGGGAAACCAAGTACTATACAAATTAGAACAAAGAAATCAATAGAATTATCACAAAAAAAATATTCTTATTTTCGTCTGTTGAAATACTTACTGTTTCATTGGAAATGTCGAAGGAAAAATTATCAGAAGAGTTTTTAGAGGAGCTGGAAAATCGAAAGTACTCGATTTTTGATCATGCTTTGTGCTAGAGATTCGTGCTCGTGCACATTGGCTATTGTGAGTAGAGGACAAGTCCAACATCATACGCCGAAAGGATTCCTGCTACAATACAAATTGCTATATGATATATATCTAGTAAATGTCTACCGTAAAACCGCCATTATATCTTTCTTCATGTATATTACTGGTTCAATATGATTCGAGTCAAAATTGCTCTCAAATGAAAGAGAATATTTTACCCCGAGCACTCTTGAAAGTACTAAATTAAATAAATCAATCATTCGATGCAAGTTTTTCTAGAGTCAAATGGTACTTCTTTTTTATTACAAATTGTCGTTTCGCATGCATGATAACGACAAATACTTCCTTTCAACAAATAATAGCAGCTTTAAAAGTGTGTGTGTGTTATGGGGCGGGGGAGGGGATAGCCGGCCAGTTGTTTTGTTTCGCATTATAGACGAGGGGCAGGGGCCTCAAGCACCCGTTGAGTCCAGATAACTCGGCGTAGGTTCAACTAAAAGAAAGACGGGATCCCAAAGTTGTTTCCCAAAAGAAATGCATGATATTTTTTCGGTTTACATAAAATCTGGATTTCTAGCTTTGAAAATCTCTCATTAATTGGGTAGCGCAGAAGAACACTCGTTGTTGAAGACAAGTAGTTCCAATTATTCGATTGCTGTGTTTGGCTAATTAAGAAAATTGAAAAATGACAACTTAAAAATCACCATAATTAAAACCCGAACAGACAAGGTATTGTTGAAGGGTGTCCTTCCTGTCAGAGATAAATATCGTTTTAACGATCAATCTCTCAACGTCAGGAGAAAAGCAAAACATAACAGAGAGTGAAGTAGGGAAATTGCATCCTTCCTTTCTTCCTTTCTTCTATTCTTCCTTTCTTTCTTTCTTTTTTTTATTTATTTCTTTCGTTTTTTGGAATATACAAAATGCGTGGTTGTTTTTATCATAATACACCACCGTGTTCGATCGATTCCCTTCTTATCAAATTCAAGTTCGGCCCTCCAGGAGAGCAGCCCACCCAATATGTTGAGCTTGATCAAAAAAAGACTTACGCTACGTAAAACATTTAACGTTTAAGTCCTGTGCTTAAAATAGGTGGCAAAAAAAACAACCCGAAATAGATCATCTTCTTGGGTATTTAGTATCTTGGTCGGCCTGTGGTGTGGCATCCGTAGTTTTAAAATAATAACGCCGTGAAAGTGAAGCTGATCGATTAATTAGTCTTCATATTTCCAACTCACGAACATGGATAAGAGGCATGATACATGAAAATTCCCAATTTACATCTCTGTAAAATTGATTATTTAACTTATTCTACCAAATTCTGTGAAATGTCTTGAAATATAGATTTGCTGATTTTCATCCTCCAGAGAAAACAACTAATAATTACTTTAAAATATTACAATTATCAAACAGCAAAACAAAACATAAGACATATTTAGTTGTTATGAAGGCACAACTTTCGTTGGATTAATAGTTTTTCAATGGATTCTCAAGGGGTTTTTGTTCTTTCCGCAAAAACCCTCCCATGAAATAAGATCAGCCAAGAGGTTTTCTCAGGGTTCTTTAAAACCACTGATGTATGTATTCGTTTGATATCACAATCTCGCAAGTATTTGAATACCTTGAACGGTGGTAAAAACGGTTACCAAGTCAGAAGATTTTCTAGGACTTCAAGTAGGTTGCCATATCTAAGAAGATCTAATGGACTCGTCTTCATTTTATTCAGCCATGACGACTGCACCTTTGCACCTGTCAGACCCTGTCATTAGATCATGCCTCCAATTTTTTTTGAATCACGCATTTTACGTGTTTATATATTTGGAAATTATGACCTGACCAGCATACATGGCATGCGTGATGAACGGGTATAGCATACAGTCTTCTTTACATCTACATATTACTTTTTTGACATACCACTTAAACACGAACTTTGGAGACACGAGTGAGATTCGTCTTCATTGGGGAAAACATTTAATATATTTATTTCTATCTGAGAATTTAGAAAGAAGGCTTTGTGGTGTGTAAAAAGTGGACAAACTGCTTGCTATGAACCATATTAGCTCCTATAAGAAATTGGTTAGTTATATGATAATTATGAGTAATGACCATGAATTTTGTGATTGACAATAATGACGATTATGAAGATAGTGTGATGGTGGTGACAATTATGATGACGATGATGTTCGTGATGGTGGGATGACGAATGCAATAATCAGTATTTATTCCTTTTTTTGTTCATCTTCCACTCTCCCACGTCTTTTGTGTATGCTGTTTAAAATTCTTGCTATATAAATTTATTCTCTCTATATCGTGATTTTTGGCATGTTTACCAAGTCCAGTCCTTCATTTTTTCACGTCTTTGATATCCTCAAATTAAATCCATATTCACACATGTGCACCGCGTAAAGTTCTCATCGTTAATTCTAATTTTGAACCGCCATAACTTATAACGAGTTCTCGAGTTGTCATAACGAGTTTACTTTTATCAAACACAACTTTGCAGTTCCAACTCCCACTGGCTAAACTGTCACACTAAATGTCAACAATTTCTTGCCGATGAGCTGTGTTTTTGACGTCCCGCGACTTATCCAAGACAGGGTGTTGTTGGTGCTTATTGCTTTTGTCTAGAACAGCTGCTCAAACCTTAGTTTCCTCGAGCCTAAATGTCAAAAACAAGCAAACAATTTCGCGTTTCTCCGTCGTCCACGGTTATTAAGATTGTACTTTTCGATCGTTTAGATTAAGAATAATCAGAAAAAACGGATGTGAATAGTAATATTAAATGACAGTTGTTATGAAACCGCTCGTATTTGAAGTATAATTCAAAGTACTTTAAGAACAAATTGTTCATTTTTCCAATCAGAGAAAAACATGCCAAGGACTACTCACGAGGACTATTACGCAGTCCTCTTAATTTTGGGTCAAAATAATAAAACAATTAAAAAAAAAAAACGCGCCTTGAAGCAACTTCTTCAGATTTGAAAGGTTAATTAACAGCGACATTTACAACCACTGACTTCAAACTTTGTGTTTTAATATTACAAAGTTAGAGTGTAATGAGATTCCAAGTCTTGATAAAGTTTCACAAGCGCCATAGCATTTTCCATGGTTTTCGTTTGAAAAAGTACATAAATTTGGTCCGATTTGGGGGACATGACGTGACATTTATTTATGGAAAGCGTAACGTATTTATATATTTATAAAAGATAAATGAAGGAATAACATTCCATTAATTGAAATGCACGTGGGATTTTTAGTAAGACCGGCGATATAAGAACCGCAAAGCCACTTGGATTGATAAGAAAGTGGGCTAAAAATGGGTACAGGTGCGACAAATATACTCCAGAGTCATTCAACTTGGCACAATACATTATAGTTTTATCAATTCGGCATTGAAATTCAAGGGAAGAGCACTCTTAGATTAATTCAATTGCCCCATTTTTATTCAGTTTTCTATTCATTATCCTAGATGTCCCTAGATACAATATGCAAACGTGTTGATAGGATTTACGATAAGATCTGCACACTACGGTTCCTAGGCACGTTTTCTTTTTCTATTCTCGTCGAGATCCCCCACAAACTTCCAAGCATTTCAGTTTTCCATTTTAGTTGCATTTAGAGAAATTGTTAATCTTCGGGAGGTTCTTTGTAGATGGGGACGATTAGCCAGCAGATCCTTTTTTCTGCAAATAATCTTCTTGAGCCCTCTTCGTATCTCCTGACTCGTAAACGCGCATAGGAATGGATGGATTGCGGAGTTGAAACACACTAGTAGTATGGCTACTTCTCGGATGATCGGGATTCCCCGTAAACTGTCTTCTGTTGATGGTTTTGAGAAGTGAATGTAGATGTACGTAACTCCATCTGGAGTCCAACAAGCTGCAAATAGCACAGTGATGGCTATGAGAACGATCGTGATTTTTTTCCTGACCTTAGTGACGGCCATTTGACTCACGTCAATGATCTGCCTTTGTCGCTTGTACAGATGGTAGACCGTGCGCGAGTATAAGACTGAAACTGTCGATAAAGGACAAATAAAGCTAATGAAGACCAGAATAACAGACCACACCTTGCCAGTAGTGTTACCTTCCCATCCTTCTTTACACACACGTATCGTCTTGCTAACCTCGTAGACTTTAATAGTACTGAAGTTAGGCAAGTTGAGAAGAATCGCGCAAATCCAGCTAATAGCCAGCGCTATTTTAAGCCGTTTGAGATTCAGGCGTGTCGACAAATCATGAGGATAAACCACAGCTCGATAGCGCTCGTACGCTATCAAAACAAGCGTGAATCCTGACGCAAAGCCGCCGATCCAAAATATCGTTTCCCCAGTTATAAACTTGCATAAATAATCTCCTGCCTGTCCACTTGGATGTTGGTAGACGGGGCTGAAGATATACATAGCGGCGCTTAGTACGGCCATGATGATATTCGCTACACATAGATTAACCAGTAAATAGTACATTGGTGTATGTAGGGATATAATCCGCTTGACCACAATACATGTCAGTATGTTACCTGTAAGATTAATGATAGCCAAGACGCCAAATAGAACGGACAGGAAGGTTTTTGTGTCTTTGTAAGACATGTCTTATGTAACTGTGGCTTTAAAGATTCAGTATTGTAGTCGGTTCAGCAACAAATCCAATTCTATTTACGAAATTCCAGGAGAAATCTGTCAATCTGTTCTAGAATACCACGAATCCTTACCTAAGGTTCTAAAATTGTTTAGTGTGACATGGCGACCTGAGAAGAACCTTGTAGAGCATCTCTTCGTATCTTGAGTTTTGTTTTCAATAAGACCTTCTGTACAACAAATCCCAAGTCAAACAATCCACTGGTATTTACCTTAAATAGACCTCATTTGATCGATCATCGATAAATGCTTAGGTTTTCAGTCATTAGTCCAAGCAGGTTCAAAGCACTTTACATTAGTTTACAAGCATTAAGAATGCAAAGCCAAAGAGGACCGCTTGTAACCAAAATCCAAGATGTTGTCAAGTACTGTGGTGCCAATAAAAACTCCCCAACTGAATGAATCCGTTAGAGAAGTACTTCCGTCGATAAATTGTCATGAAAGAGAAAATGAACATAGATCAACGTCAGTATTTCGTCATTCTATCAATCGCGAGTAAAATATTTTTTTGGCTTATACAGATAAGTAAAACAACGTCTGGATTAACGGGACTCTCAAGCTTTATTTATTAATCTCTGTCAAGTAGGTGGTGGTGGGAAAAGAGAGAAAACAACTACTGGAGTAAATCATGGGAGATAAGAAGAAGGACAGCCTGAGATTAAACACAACATGGGGGCTGGTGAAGTAGGGAGGGACTTTCCATTTAAAGCGTATTGCAAGGAAAAAAATTATTTTCAAGATCATTTACATGTGTCACGCATTTTATTCAGCAATGCAATGCAATTGTTTTGTGTTTTGAAAGCAAGTTCTGACCATACTGAACATCAAGTAGATAGGATTTATTATCTCACCTACCAGTCCATTTAAGCAAAAATTGCTTCCCTTACTAAGTCATCTATGTACATTTCTATTAAAAACTTGCCATTCATGCAAAAATTCACACGAAACCGGGAAATGACCTCTATTGATAGCAACCTATAATTTCATTAATTTAATGCAATATCTTAATGTTTATCTAACTAATGAATAATTCATGAGAGAACTCTGAAGAAAAGTCGCTCTCAGTTGTCTCAACCAAGCTAGTGCCAGTGCACAAGAATTTAAGATACTCAAAACGGCTGGGTGTGGTCGAAAACGTAACTTTAAAGGCTGGTTTCATGTGAAGAAAACTCGAAATCGAAAAAATATCGGAATATTTATCTAAAGTATCTAGAGATGCCGAAACCACTAATCAAAAAGACGTAAATCTGATGTACATTTTAACTCTAACTTGCATTTCCTTAGTCACACTTACTCCAGTCTTGAAAATTCTAGTAAAACATGAAAATATAATTCCAGAGGTTTATAAGTAATATATTGAATGTAAAGTTAATATTATGTTAATATTTGCTTTCATTTGTTTTGTTAAAGTAACTCAATATTTTCACTCAGTATTGATTCTACATGAAGTGAATATTTGAATATTTGAGTCTAGGAAACATCAAGGCTTATACTTACGTTAAGAAGTGTGATGTCATTATAGGACTTTGAGTTTGTATTTCATAATTTCTAAATTGAAACACTGATTACGAGAAAACAAAATTGCTATGAAATTTCTATAAACCCTAAGTAAGACAGGATAATTTACCGCACCAGAAAAGTTTTGTTTATTTAAGAATTCTACTATGACATCGCACTCATTAACATATTGGAAGTATAAACCCTGATAACTTGCACCACTCATATAAAAAATCATATCAAAATTATTTCCCATTCAACTATTTAATTCATGTTGCAAAAGGTGCAGCTCCTGAGATGACTGCTTTCGCTCTTGAAAAATCAATTATATTTATTATCTATATATTTTATATTAGAAATTCTTAATATAGTTAGATTTTATTAACATATATTATAGATAGATATAGGTATAGATTTTTATAGATCTTTTTAATATTTTATCTCATTTTATTTTATGATATTTTTTCTCATCTTTCATTTTTAAGTCTCCAATTAGTTGTAGAATCTAAATACATTGACAGTTAAATAAAGTTATTATTATTTATTTTTATTATTAATCAATACTGAAAATATTAAGTTAGTGGTTAGTGGCACTTCAGTAATGAGAGTCGGATAAGAGTCGGATAATGGTGTTATTTTATTTATGAATTATCATAATGTTTGTTTTGCTTTGCTACGGAAATTGTGAGAACACTTTTAGATCGGCTTTACTTAAGGTGACTGCCTACTTTTGGAAATTGATTTAAGCTTTTTTTAAAACTTCGATTTTCCGAATTGAAATTTAATGCTGATTCCAAATCT